AGACCTGCAGAGCTGTGGAAAACTTCATCAGTTCAACTCACCGCTTTGTCCCCTAATCGTTGACAAACTGCTGCTTACGGAGTGAATCGTCCAAGGCGCAGCACTCCGTTAACCTACCGAAGAACAGAACAACAGATACCTGATACCACAGCAGCTGTTTGTGGCGGTGCTTCATCTGTGCTTTGTCAAGGCCCTCAACTGCTCACTGACCTGGGGCTCCCATTTTGTTACCGCCACTCCACCAGCCCTTGCCAGCTTTTGATCCTGTTCCCCCTTGGATTTGTGTAGAACTGTAGATCCAGATCATCTTATTTGTCTCGATTTCCGCTTTGTCTCTGGTTTAACTGACTCAGCTGTCTTTTCTGCTCATGTTAGGGAATATTATCCTGGGTACATGGCAATCTACTGTGATGGGTCGTGACTCACGATTGACAGACAATCCATCTACAGCATGTGCGGCACATGCTGTGATGTGCTGTGCGGCACATGCTTAACCTGGTTAACCACATGGCACATGATGTGCCATGTGGTTTATACATACCGGCACAAGCAAGAGCAGTTGCATGGAGACTTAATCCCAGGCAAGGCATCCTATCAGCTGAATTGATTGCTATATTACATGCTTTGAAACTCATTGTAAGTGAAGCATCCCTATCAGCCTATGAGTCCTATCCTGTGTTATTTTTTCTGACTCACTTGTGGCCTTGCAACTCATACTCTGACTCTCCCCAACGGACACATCTTGCGATCTTGTATATCAAATTCGTCAGCTGCTCCTTGGCCTAAATGAGAGGAAAATGGTGCGCCTACAGTGGGTCAAGGCCCATGCTGGCATTGTTGGGAATGTGCGAGCTGATGCTGTTGCAAAGATGGGTCATGCTCTTGACCATTCTGCATTGTTTTGTCTTTCTTGTTCTGATACACTTGCTTTACTTTGTTCTTGTTTTCTCAAGTCTTGGGAACTGGACGTGGACTGGATCGCTGCTTTGGCTGTTGAAGGGAAGGGAGTCAAGGGACATCATCTCGCTTCTGTGCGGGCTGATTTGTCTCCTGTTCCATGGCTTGCCACTTGCCAGTTGGCAGTTGCTCTCGTCGTGCTGCTGTGGTACTTACTCGTCTTCGATTGGGATTTGGGTCATGTTGGTGTTCGATCGTACCTCCATCGATTTGGCATGGCTTACACTTCCTGACTCCCATGTGCTTGCATTGTGGGGTGGAACCATGGATGATACTGTGGAGCATTTTCTCCTGGCATGCCTGCGGTACCACCTGGAGAGTCACTACTACTACTACTACTCGAGCCATGGTTGTGCACCAAGCCACCATCTAACTGTACAAATACTTCTTGGACTTGGAGCCTTGGAGGAGGCAACTACCGCAGAAAGATTCAACATGCAATTATAAGAGGAACAATCACCTATTTAACGCAAACAAATTGTCTGACTTCACTGTAGTGCATGAGCACCACCCTGAATTTACCTGTGATCAAATCTGGAAGCCCAGCTAATAGATCCTTCAAGGATCATTGACACTTGACGCTGAAACTTACTGCTGAGTCCAGGTGTAATGAGTGGTTATCCCTCAACTACTTCTTCACCTTCAAGCCATACACACACACACATCATTCAGCAGTCTAACCACCCTAACTGGGTCATCTGTACTGACTCTTGATCGGCGCTGCTCCTTCTACGCTCACCACGCAGTCGCAGTGGTACTACTAAGTGCTCATTTGGACCCTCAACCTTGAAACTTGAAAGACAAGTAGTTCTACAATGGGCGAATGGGTAAAAGCCCATGCTGGGATACACGGAAATGAGCTGGCGGACCAAGCAGCCAAATAGGGACATCAACTCAATCACAGCACATATCATGCTGTTGAGTACTCCGATGCTCTCCGCCACCAGGCATTGTCTCAGTGGGAAAGAGAATGGTTACAGAACGTTAATGAGACTGAAAAGGAAGATGACTTTTGCTGGTCTGTAGAAGCCTGCAGCCGGCGCCATGGATACATGTAAGATCTCGTAGAGCATCTCTCGTGTTAGCCAGCCTTCGAGTTGGACACACTATGGTAAATGCCTACTTGCACCGCTTTTCAATGATAGACTCTCCTGTCTGAGGCTGTCTCCTCTGTGCTACACTTGCAATGTTGATGAAACCATTGACCACTTTCTACTTGAATGCGTGCCGCCCAATATAATAGTGCTCGCCAACTTGTGAGAAGGATTTTGCAAAATATTGGCATACAGTCCCTGACGGTGCAATTCTTGCTGGGAGGGAACGACCTCACAAAACAGGAGCAGCACCTTGTCATGCTTGTGATCAACCCGATCAAGGCCGTAATCACCTATCTCACATGTACCGGCCGGATGGTGACATTGTGAAGCTAAAGCCCTGCCAAGTTAACTACACTTGAAACCATAGAAACCAGTTATGACTAAGCAAACTTGAAAAGAAGCGTTGAAATTGCCGTGTCCAGGTGTGACGACTGACCTGTTTGAGGTCCTTTATGATGCCTGAAAAAAGATATCATCATCATCATCACTTTAGCATCTACAGCGTAATGGGTGTAATACACTAAATAGTACCTAAATACAGTGATAATGTGGCCCTGCGGGACAGCAGGAGCAGGACTGTGTCTAGGCTAGGGTTGGCAAGGGTTGTGACTTTTGGATAGTGTTAAAATTGACCACGGGGATGAGGGCCTACATCACATGATCACTTGCAGATTTTGCTTATTTGTTATTATTGTTGATGCCCTTAAATGGCCTTAATGTTATCGATAATGGTAGTCCCATGACTTCAATCTTAATGACAAATTGTGGATTGTTTTACTTTACAGACACATCCCAGTCAGGACCAAGTGATCCGACCAGCAATTCAAATCGGAAATTTAAAAGGCAATGCAGCATTTTGCAAATGTCTAAAATGTAATTAGCCTATTTTGATCCTAATCTGTCAAAAAGATCTTTTAATTCTAAAGCCTAAAGATGTAAATTTTGTTGCTGATGCATTGCTGAAAATCTTTTGATATTCACTGTCATTCACTGATTCAGAACCTTGGAAATTTAATTATTTAAGGAATTAACACTTTGACTACGACGTGCGACGCTGCCATATATGGTACACGCATGCATGTCCCAAACTGCAACATGCACCATATATGGCACATGCTTAAAAATTCAACTTTTTAGAAAAGCTCATTAAAACATCAGCCAGTACATCAACATGTGAAAAATATGATAGATAATTGACAATAATGCTTTCGTAAACCTATACAAATGTTGTAAAATCGAATCAAAATAATCTTAGTAGTTGAAATCTAGCCTGAGATAAGGAGTAGGTACAAATAATACAAAATATTGAATAAAGGGTGTTATAGTAACACCCTTATTTATTTATTTTACACGCTTATTTTTATATTTAATTATTTTTTCGGTATTGGTATGGATTATAGAAGTATTAAAATAGGTACCTACTTGTCCTACTAGACATCCAAGAGTTGCCTAAGCTCACTCAAAATGCCACTGTAAAAAGCAAGATACATGGTGATTGGTGAAATACTGAAATGGATTCCCAGCACTAGGATAGCAATTAGTATGGTAGTTACTCTTCTAGCTTCCCATCTCACTTCAGCACTAACTTTCTTTTTTGCAATTATGTTATAGCAGAACATAGAGCAGTAGCTTATTATGAAGTTAAGATCTTCAGCTTCAAATACTTAAGAGCTGGAACGCAGACATATAAATCATCATGATTTGGTCATAGAAAAATTTCTTTGCGTATCTGACATATTACTAGTGACGAAACATTCAGTCATCTTCAACGACTCAGCAATTCACATTTATTTTTATTGACTATAAAACTGATCACCAAGCACCCAGGCAGTTGCTAGTTGCTACAGCAGTTTTTGGCAACAACTTGAATAGTTGTCAGTACCACTTCATGCTTTGTCTTAGTGCAGTTTGTAAGACATCATCTAATTCAACTAATTGAATTATAAACTTCCCATTTAGCAACATTTTATACCAGAATGATTTGTAATTTGAGTATATTGCAGTCACATTCCGATTCCATTTGCCCATAAACAATGTTTTTTTCGAGTGTCAATACTGGTGTGATGCAAATTTTTATTGTAGTTGCCATGTATCTCATATGGCGCATGTTGCCTAGAAAGATGAAAGTTTCCATTCCAGGCAACGTGCATCAATAGAGGCTCACTGTTTTTATGTCAGAAGTTTGTAGAACTTGCTTAGACAAGAGCAGAGCACTAGCTCCCATCTTGCTGTCATGTCTGTAACTATAGTTATTCAAGTTTGAATGAATCGCATCACTGGAATAATGGCTATTTTGGGAGTTGCAGTCAAAGTGTTAAAGCATAAAAGAGACTAATTTTTATGATTTCATTCATTTTCATCTGTTCCATGGGTCATATGGCCATTAGCTTAATTTATTCCCTAAAAAATCACGAAGATTACTCATTCTTTCAAGTCTTACATAAATTGATTTAAATTTACTCCAAATTTTCAAGCAATTCTGTCTAAGATTCCAGATTTGAGATGAGTGGCAGCTAGCATAAGAAACAACTACCTTTTGAGGATTAGAGCCACAACTAGTTTTGAACTAGAGCTTTTCTGCCATATTTTGAACTGCCCGATGGATGAAGTACCTCCTATTCAATTACTTAAAAGAGCACAATCAGGCCACAATACAATTGTATTGAAAATTTGTCACTGCTGCAAGATTTCAGTATCAAGTATGAAAATACCAATTTTGATGTGGCAGTAGGCCAGTAGCCAAACACTAAGCAATTTGCACCTCCCCTCAAAGCTTAAAGCCTTGAGGCTTACAATTTGCAAAAAATATTCTGTCTGAGCAGAATACAAGTTGAACAAGTGGGCAATCATCATGAATCATGTCCAGCTCCAGCATTCATTTGTTAATTAAATTAAATTTTATTTTATTTAATTTTATCCTACAATTTTAATGGTTTTTTATTACAGAATTACAGAAAATTTGTCCAATATTTCAGGATAGTGAACTGACATATACCTTGAAACTTCCTATTTATTCACCTGAAAGCTTAACAGTGGAACACCAACATGTTTTACCATGTAAGTTACACTGGTTTTATTTTATTAATTTCAAAGAAATTTATTCATTTATATTATAGTATTAAAATTCAAATATATCTGGTAGTACCTGATGATTTCTGATATAGCCAAGGCAAGAGTTGATATATTTTTATTATATATCAAGTTCTATTTTCTAGTGATCTTTTGTAGGTATTCTATTTACTATTTGACAGATGCATCAATTTAAGGTATCAGACTCTTTAGATGACAATAGAAGTTTTCTCTTGAATTCTATCAAAAATCTGAAATAAGATATCAACCTGGCACTTTAATATTATATATGGAATATGGTAATGCCTAGTGGCAAATTTTTAGCCATATGCTATGGAAAACTTTCACCTAAAATAACATGTAAGTTAAGATAGTTAAATTGAATTAGTTAGCTAAGCTAATTAAAAAATTATTTTCAATAAGTTTTTAAGTTATCCTAATTAATGGTGTATTTACAGATTTCCCTTGAGCATGAAATTCTGCTGCACCCACGATACTTTGGGCCAATGCTCTCGGATACAGTTCGTCAGATGCTCTTCACAGAAGTGGAAGGAACATGCACTGGCAAGTCAGTTTTCTTGTATATTTTTTTTCAAGCTGTAGTGTAGGTATGCTTCAGGTTTTAAACTCTGATATAGAGGGGTTAAGCAAAATAAGGGACAGAGAAATGCCCAAAATATATTTAGTATGGTGTAGGTCCACCTTTCACAGCAATTACAGCCTTAATTCTCCAAGGTATTGATTCATAGAAATTGTGAATTGTTTCTAAAGTAATTTTAACCCATTTTTCAGTTAAAGCTCCCTCCAACTCTTTTAAAGTCAATGGTGGTGGGAATCAATTTTACAGACTTGCAGCTGTAAAATCAACCATAAATGCTCAATAATATTCAGGTCTGGAGATTGTGGTGGCCTAATGAGATGCTCATCTTTCAGATGTTCCTTGTGTCATTTTTTAACTATTCCAGCTGTATGGTTGAGGGCATTGTCATCTTGAAAGATGGCATCCCTCTCTGGAAACAATGCTTGAACTATTGCATGAACTTGGTCATCCAAAATTCCTAAATAGTCGTGGATGTTGATTTTTCCATGAAAAAAATCACTGGTCCATGGGATTTCCAAGAAATATCAGTATATCACCCCAGATCATCACAGATCCCTGCCATGTTTTATGGTTCTGAGGAGACAGTTGGGATAAAATGACTTTTGGCTGTCTACAAACGTAAACTGGGCCAGTGGGTGGAAATAAGGTAAACAATGATTTATCAGAGAAAATCACATTTTCTCCAGCTTTGGAGACCAACTCTGGAGGTTTTGAAGCATTTGTATTTGAAACCAGAGATTTCTAATTGCAGCTCATCTATAGAATCAAGATTTGTGCAGCTCTCGGCGGATGGTCTTTATGGAAACTGGGATCTATAGGTGTCCATTGAGGTCTGCAGTAATTTTAACTACCGTGGTTTTTCGATTGTCCCTCACAATTCATTTTAGGTACACCAATGGTCTCTCTCAGACAACCTTGACTTTCGGCCAGTTCGGTGCTTTGCTGAGAACGTTTTTCCTTCTCTTCCAAAATCAGTCATTATTTTTAAGACAGTACATCTATAATTGTAAAGCAATCAGAAAGTTTTGGTCATGCTAGCACCTGCCATACATGCATCAACAAATTGGCTACTTTGAAAGCTAGAGAGGTTTGCCTTTTATGGATTATAGGTAAGTTTATAGACACAAACATTTACTAGAATTATCATTGCAAAGTTGAAATATCAATTAGCAGAAACAATAAAACATAAAAATATGTCACTTTTTCATTGTTTATAACTTGTTTAAAAAACAATACCAAAATGTCCAAGTGTTTCCTTCATCTTGCCTAACCTCTGTTGGCACATGTTATGCGTTTTAAAATTTTCTCCAAAACACATGGTGTTAGTTTCAAGAAGTGAGAGAATTTGTGAACTCTTTTGATTAACATTTTTTGTGCTTTGAACAGTTCAGTCCTGTCCACATGGTACATTTTTTTATCTCACACCACTCATATTCTTGACTATGGTTAGGAAGATGCACCAAGTGCAAAACAATAGTGGATTACCTACTGTATGACGCATTATGACCATAATGCTTGTTTTCTGTTGAAAAAATGGACATCATAATAAACTAGTAGTTCCCAACTGCCAATCCTTCTTGCTCGTCTGAATTATTTCGTTGACAGTAAATACTGGTATGTTTCATTAAATCTCTCGTTAGAAACTTCAGTGGTAGTGTGTAATATAATATCTGTCGTCTCAGTGTGGTTGCATCATGTCACAAGTTTCTTTATGTGTGGAGATGCAGAGAAAGGTGCAAGCTATGAATAAATTTGTATCAATTTGGTGAAAAATATTTAAAACAATGCCTAATTCCAATACACCTGTGCAGGTACGGATTTGTGATTGCAGTGACCACTATTGATGACATTGGCTCTGGCATGGTGCAGCCAGGCCGAGGATTTGTTCTATACCCTATCAAAGTGAGCAAACTTCTTATTTATACTTTTTTAATTACTGTCAAAAATGTTGAAGTGATATCAGACAGCTGGAATCAGTCCCTCAACCCTTTCTTTAATTCCCCAAATTCTCTTCAACCCCTAAATTTTTTGGAAAACTCAGTATCTATATATTTCTTTTTATTTCATAATTAAATTACTATGCTGGAACAAAAGCACTGTGAATTACAGGCATCGTATAAATAGTTTTGTATATATTAAAGATTGTCATTTTTTGCTCTAGAATTTGACATACGTAGTTTAAAGTGTACACTGTTAGAAAAAATTACCGTTAACGGTATTACCGGCGTTTCAGTGGCCGGTCGGCACGTCAAAAGAAACACCGTGTCGCCGTTTTTATTCTAATTTATCACTAGGAATCCGTGTAACATCTGTTAAGAACGGAGAAACAGTTTATTTTCACGGTGCGACCGGCCACTAGAACGCCAGTGAGACCGTTTTTTCACCGTTTTTTCTTACAGTGTACCTATAAAATAATGGTAACTCTTCACCTGTAAGTAATGTCTAGTGCTTTTTTAATTTTATATCGAGTATTTTATGTATCTTTCAAATTATTGGATGTACGTAGCAGTGTCAGAAATGTACACATTTGATCCCACATGATCACCGGAAAAATTGTCTATTTAAATTGGATTCTGATTAAATTCATCAATATGACTCATTTGTTGGTGTCAGTTATATATCTGTTGAAATATGAAAGTGAATTGTTGTCTGATTTTCTTTTTAAGCTGTGTAGTTAACCAATAATTCAGAATGAGAGCTTTGATAAAAAATTGCTCTCTACAGAATTTATTGCAGCAATAGCACATGAAAATTTTCCATCAATTACAGTATAAAGCCATCGTGTTTCGGCCGTTTAAGGGGGAAGTTTTAGACGCCATTGTAAGCCAAGTCAACAAGATCGGTCTGTTTTGTGAGATCGGCCCAATGCAGTGCTTCATCTCCAGACACGTGAGTCGTGCAACAGGGCTAGGTTCGAGGCTTTTTTTCCTTGTATTTTAAATAACTGTGGGAATAACGGAACTAGTGACGTGACATTTACCAGCATAAACTGTTTAATCATTCTGAGAGTTTTTCCAGAAATTCCGGAAATTAATATTTTAAATCACTGATGTGATTCACTAGCTATACCTACGCCATAAGTTTTCTCTAGTGACACGTTTTTGGCTTTGAAGTTCAGGTGGTGCTCCATGAAACGTGTCGCAGCTCAGAGATCAAATTTATTTATTCTTAGATTAACACCCAAATCGGGAGCTGAGATTTGACAAAAATAAAAAAGAGTAAACCTACATTTGCAAATATGTGAATGCGTTTTCACGAATTTATAGTTTATTTTTATTTCTTTTTGTTGCTAGTGGCGCTTTGGTGCACTTCTGGCTCGGTGAAATTTTAAGTTACTCTTCGAAACTATTCACCGATTTACGTACTCCAAAAGCAGGATAATATCTTATTTTAGCTAAACAATTCTATGTTTTATACTGATTACCCATTTTTAGACACTGAGGCATTAAGCAGACCTGCAGACGTCAGATGCGCCTGAGGTGCTACCTTGCAAGAAATTCCTTCCGCGGGTCGTTTCGGTAAAACTTCTTCAATGTGCTAGCACATCACAATATCTTGACCGTGATTGCTAGCTGTATTTATGCTGGCTAGAACCATAATATTTTGTTCTTTTTGCATCAGATCAGTAATTTAAACCATATTATTACTCGAAGAGAGTGTTATTGGCACATCGAAAATTGTATGATGTAAACCGGACACAAAATAACCCAGCTCAGGAAAGAGGCTAGAATCGCTATCATTTAGCACACGATTCAGTTGTTATTTATTGTTTAGTTGTTGTTTGTTTTTTAGTTTAGTTATTGTTGGCAACATTTGTTTGGTTATTATCAATACAATTTAGATGAAAAACGTTCTGTAGTATTTCAGCAAAGCCTGTTTTTTTTTTCTGGGAGCATATGGTGAATTTCCTTGATTTGCTGCAGTGCTGGTGAGCAATCCTGATGCGTTCAGATGTCAACAAACATCTGAAATCCGGTGACCCGCACAATGTCTGTAATTATCGTCCAATATCAGCAACCTTACCCTTTCTTAATAAGATTTTTGAAAAAAATCCTGCATTCGAGACTCACAAACTTTTTTAACAAGTTTTCAATAATTTCTGACGATCTGTTTGGTTTCCGTAAGGGAACCAACACAACTATGGCTATATTTTATTTAGTTCTAGACCTTCTCAAGACGTATCATTCTAAAGAATACTGTGTTGCTCTTTTTCTGGACCTACAAAAGGCCTTCGATTGTGTCAATCACCAAGTACTATTGGGTAAGCTCCACCGTTATGGAATTAGGGGGACTTTCCTTACACTTATCCAGTCTTACCTCACAAACCGAGAGCAGTTCGTCGCATTGAATGAGTTTAATTCCCCCTTAAGGCCCATCAATATAGGTGTACCCCAGGGCTCTCTACTTGGGCGTTTATTCTTTAATATTTTTATTAATGATATCGCTTCATCTTTTAATGTGAACTGTAAGCTTTTGCCGACGACGCCATGTTCTATGTCTCGAGAAACGCGTATGACGAAGCGTGTGACAATATATCAGAGCTGTCATTGAATCTATCGAGATGGCTTCTAGCAAACAAGCTAGTGGCACGTACAGACAAGACCAAGTTGATGCTTTTTACTCCCAGACCCGTCTCCGTTTTACGTGACAGCACTTTCAATGGGACAATTTTACAATGGGTAGATGAATTCAGGTATTTTGGTTTAATCCTAGATAACAAGATCTCCTTCAATAAACACATCAACCACGTCTGTCAGGGACTGAGTAAAGCCCACGGAGTTCTGCGTGCCTTATCAAATGTATTGCCTTTTCCTTCATTAGACTCCTTCCTAGTCTAGCACGTTACCAAACCAACCCATTATAGAAGTAAACAGACTCCCAATATTCTAGACCTGGTGTTTACCAGTGATGAATCAATGTTGGATGAGCTTCGTCACGAGGCAGCTCAAGGAAATATTCAAGTCTACATAGAACTAGGCGCTCCATCAGTTTCCCTATACAGGGAAGGAGGGTGATGGGGCGATAGCTGGCCAGCAGGGTTGGGTCTTTACCTGGTTTTAAGATGGGGCAGGTGATACCTTGCTTCCAGCTCTCTGGCACTGATCCGGAGCTCCAGCATTTGTTCAACATATCCAGAAGCTCAAGTTTGACTGGGGATGGTAGTTTTTGAAGAAACACATTCATCACATTGTCATGGCCTGGAGCAGTATTCTTTAGAGCCTGGAGAGCCTGGAGAGCCAAGTTCAACTCGCCTGGTGTGAAAGGTTCAGAGTCAAAATGAGTGAGTTGGGACAGCTTGGTGTTAGCTGCCCTGACTTCCTGGGAAGGAACTGGAGCTTCATAAAAGGAAACCAGTGGTGCAGATGCTTTCCCGAATTCATCTGACATGGGAAAGTTTGAGAGAGGTGGGGTAGGCATGTATGGGAGAGTTTTGCCTTTGTTATGGGCTGTCACTCTTACTGCTGGAGAGTGGTGGTTACCTTGCTCCCACTTGGGGAAGTAACGCTCCCCCAGTTCCGAGTTAATGTAGAGTTGTTTTTAGAATCTTGAAATTCAAGGTAAACATCAATATTTGTGTTATCAGTGCTCTCCATCTCATTCTCTTTGCCCTTTTTGCAGACCATTATTTCATGTGTCAGTGGTGATTGAAATTCCAAATCTTCTATCAGCCGTTACCTTATATTTACTACTACCTCTTCTTGGTGAGTAGTAGTTGCCAAAATATACTTTTAAATCACTGCTCATATATTTATTGATGAAGATTTTAATGTCGTGGTTTTGAGAATACCGTTATAGATGAGAAATATATTTATCTGTTATCCTGCGTGATAGTTTATTGTGTATATATGTTTTGAAGTTTGTATTGATGTTGTGTTTAATAATAGTGTGTTCAGGTGTTGATAATGTAAATATTTTACAGAAGCATCTTCAAGTACTTCACATAAGCGACCCATGCCCCGTTTGCCCGGTTGTCCGGTAGTCCGTTTTTTTGGTTGCAGTGGACCTACTGCAGTTGCCCAGATCAAGAGAGGGCAATGTAGCATGTTTGGTTGCAATTGACCATTATTCAAAATGGCTGAGTGTGGTTCCGTTGCGCGATAAGACAGCATCCTCAGTGGTTAAAGCATTTGCTCATCGCATACTGCCAACAATGATTCGCACTCCTGACCGCTTGTTGTCGGACAATGGTCCTGAATTTCGTAGTTCACTCTTTACCGATCTACTCTGCACGTNATCAGTGGTTAAGGCATTTGCTCATCGCATACTGCCAACAATGATTCGCACTCCTGATCGCTTGTTGTCGGATAATGGTCCTGAATTTCGTAGTTCACTCTTTACCGATCTACTTTGCACGTATGGTATTAAACACATTACAACCACACCGTATCAACCAAGTAGTAATGGATGTGTGGAAAGAGTAAACCGTTCAGTGACAGAGATCCTTCGAAATTTGGCAACGTCATCAAGTTGGGACAAGGAACTAGCCCGTGCCGTCATTATTTATAACCATACCAGGCACTCAGAATTGCAGATGTCACCAGCTGAGTATCTGCTTACTAAGAAGCACGTGGTGATTGACACACCAGTGGTTACAACAGAGGACCTAATGCTCTGGTCACCAGGAAATCCTAGATTCAAGCCATTTGCAGTTGGTGATCTAGTGAGGAAAAAGATAAATTTTGGAAATCGATGTGTGAAAAACAAGTTTCAGCCTCGTTTTGAAGGACCCTATGAAGTTGTTCAAGTACATGACAACAAAGTGACTTACAAAATAAGACCTTTGCATGGTGGCAATGTGGTCCCTGCTCATCATAATCAGCTTGCGACCTGGAAGACTTCACCTGCATATCTGAACTTTGACACCTCCAAGGATCTTGGTGGTGATGTTACCTGCAGTCGATCAGAGTTGTCTGAAGCTTCGCTGGTATCTTCAGAGACTTCTCTAACTTCCCTTCTGTCTTCATCATCAGACTCCACTGGTGAATTCTCGGGATTTGTGCAGCCAAATCATGCCGCTAAATTCCCTGATACCTCTCCAGTAAATGAGCTGAATGCAGAGAGAGACTCAACATCATCATGCATTAGAACTGAAGGCAGAAGACATAAGGTGCCAACTTTTGATATGGGGCAACCTTTCCCTAAGTCTTGTACTGCAGGTGCAGGAGAGCCTGTTGTTGATTTGCAGTCCAAGGATGGTAATGAGATGAATGGAGAATCTTCCAAGTTGCATTCTGGTGTAGTGTTACCAGTTGATGGTGAGACATGGGATATGTCTTCAATTAGTAGTGTTAAGAGTTTACCAGAAGCTAAATTAATGAAGCGAGAAAAATTGTATCTACAAGTGGCCAAGTTTGTAAAGAACTACATCATTAAACTTCTGGATGAAGCATGTGATAGAGTGGTGGTCAGCCCGAGAGAACAATCAATGGTCCAGGAAGATGGATCATTTTCAGGATTTGCTGCTGCCATCCTCACAGCTGATGAAGATAAGATAGCTACTCCAGTTGTATCAACTGATGAAGAGGCTCTGTTGAGTAGAACTGGTTGTGAACGTCTGCAAAATTCAGTTTGTGATGCTGAGTCAGGCAGTACTAATTGTGATAAGTTGGCTGTGATCCCTGATTTTAGACCTGTAACCAGATCTCGAGGTTTAGTTGCTGATCTACCTAATGTGATGGATGTTCCTGTTGAATATGTTAAGTCTTTGAACAAGTAAATTTTGTAATTGTAGTATTAAGCAAAGTAGGCTGTAATTTAGGTAGATTGGTTGGCTAAGAGATGTGAAGGAGAGCACTGGAGGGGGGGTGTGTTATGGGCTGTCACTCTTACTGCTGGAGAGTGGTGGTTACCTTGCTCCCACTTGGGGAAGTAACGCTCCCCCAGTTCCGAGTTAATGTAGAGTTGTTTTTAGAATCTTGAAATTCATGGCAAACATCAATATTTGTGTTATCAGTGCTCTCCATCTCATTCTCTTTGCCCTTTTTGCAGACCATTATTTTATGTGTCAGTGGTGATTGATTAAAGTTCCAAATCTCCTATCCGCCATTATACCGTACTCACACTACTGCCTGAAGTTGGTGAGTAGTAGTTGCCAAGATATACCCTTTTTAATCACTGATCATATATTTATTGATGAAGATTTTAATGTCGTATTTTTGAGAATACCGTTATAGATGAGAAATATATTTATCTGTTATCCTGCGTGATAGTTTATTGTGTATATATGTTTTGAAGTTTGTATTGATGTTGTGTTTAATAATAGTGTGTTAGGTGTTGATAATGTAAATATTTTACAGAAGCATCTTCAAGTACTTCACATAAGCGACCCATGCCCCGTTTGTCCGGTTGTCTGGTAGTCTGTTTGTCCAGTTGCCTAGTTGAACAGTTGCCCAGTTGTCAGGTTTCCCCGTTATACGGTTATCTGGTTACCCAGTTCCCCAGTTAATGGTTAAACAGTCATTCAGTAGTTGGTTAGGTTTTTGATTTAGCACTCTCTTAGGTTTAAATTTTAAGTCCCTTAATAATGAAGTTTTGTATAAGAATTAAATAAAGTTGAACAAAAAGGAGAAAAACACCTGGTGGACAGGGATGGCTATAAGGGGAGTTGGGAGGCCATCTTTTATTTAACCTTTTAGATTTTAAAGAACCTTGAATACCTTCCCTCGCTTAAGTAGTAAAGACAACCCATTACAAGGGTAGGAAGTGATGATTCAATGCAACGCTCAGTGGTGGACAACTATTACTCTCTGGGCTATTCGCTTCAGAATATGGTGGCGTAAATCTCCTAATATTCGAAGGAAAATTATGTCATGGGCTGGTTTCCAATGGATGGCTTAGTCCACGGCTGATTGGTGGTCATCTGGAAATATGCTAGGTGTTCCTTTCAAGGCTGATTGGTGCACAAAGTTGGTGATGCACGGCTGCGTACCCAAGCGGAGGAGTTGTACCTTCACAACTTCTTGATGGGAATGCAGCCATGCACCACCAAATTTGTGCACCAATCAGCCCTGAAAGGAACGCCTAGCATATTTCCGAATGACCACCAATCAGTTGCGTATTAACCTTGCCGTCAGTAACCAGCCCCTGACATAATCTTGCTTAAAAAATTAAAAGCTTTACGCCACCATATTCTGAAGCAAATAATCTAGAGGATAACGGTTGTCCACCACTGAACGTTGCATCAAATCATCACTTCACACCCTGACTTTAGCTCGAACTATAATTAGCTGACAACAAACTGTGACCAACCAGCCCAGTTCACCAGTGAAACTACATGCATCCTGCCGTGCACCACCAGATGGTCACTTTTATCTCACAATATCAGGGGTTAGGTTTCAGAAAGTATAGTTCTGTTCCAAAATATATCATCCGCTGACGAGCGACTTCCACAGCTTTGCTAAATTACGTATTTTTTAGCTCACAGCATCTGGGGTTAGGTTTCAGATAGCATAGTTCTGTTCCAAAATTTGTCGTACGATGTGTGGCTGTTCGACCGTAGGTTGATTCGACACACAGGACAGATACGGACGGCTCCGTTGCACTACATCTGGGTGTTGTAAAATTTTTTCGTGTATTGGCAGACGATGAAGGGCCATTCTATGTCAGGCTACTTTCCTGTGGGCTGATCATGTGGGCTGATTTAATTCAATGGATTTAATCTGTCTGGTGGCTTGTGGCTTATAATGTTACAGTCAAAAAGTGTAAAACTCACCTCTTGCTGGGTGCATAAGCCTGCACCATCTGGGCCCAGCTCCCCGCCGTCGATCCAATCACGTACAGCTCGTGAGGAGGGAAGCGCAACCGTGCAAAACCAATTTTGTGCAACAATAAGCCCTGTATTGAACACCTTGGATCTCCCCGGGCATCCACCAATCAGCCGTCAGCCACTCTGTTTTGTCCTCCTGCGGCCTTGCATAGAACCTGCCGTGCACCACCAGTCCGCGGACCAAATATGACTTCCGGGCATCAACAAATTACATAATTTTACGTTCACCACATCTGAAGTTAGGTTTCAGTTTATCGTCCTTTGACGACTGGCTGTTCGACCGAGGGCTGGTTTGACACACGGCCTAGATATGATTGTCCAGAAGTTTTGAAGGCTACGTTCCAGAAGGCAGGAATCATGATGGTCCATTACATTCAGGGCAGTGTTGGTCTTCGGCAGGTGACCCGGGAGGAGGCGTGTCTGGTAGTGGCACTGCCAACAGTGCCCAACACAGCAGTGTCAGTCACTGGCATGGATAACTAACACGTACAAGCTGGATAACTGGGCAACCAGAACCGTATACCCAAATAACAGTATAACTGCTAACTGCTTACTGCTACACCGGACAACTAGGCAACTGGGCAAACGGACAACCGGGCTACCGGACAACCGGGGCATGGGTCCCTCATGAAAGTACTTGAAGATGCTTCTGTAAATTATTTAAGTTATCAACACCCCAGTGTGCAGAGAGAGGATGAATATTGCAAGATCTTTGGCAACGCTTCAGTAGCAAAATTTACGCCTTCAGAAGATCTTGCCGACACGTTTAGATTGAAATTCTTGCATTTAATATATTTGTCAGTCTTCGGCCAACTATTTAAAAAAAGTAAGGTTTCCGATATGTTGGATGGAAGATGGATCAGGATGCAGTGAAGCTTGTCCGGAAATCAGTTGCGATGAGTTCCCACCAAAAAATGTAAACATCAAGCTTACGATTACGTAGTTGCGGTCACATTACAGGGTCAGACTGCATTATCACATGTTCAGTTGACACTTGCTGTACATTTGGTGAATTGGACTGTTTTTAGGGTGAAATTAGTAATTTGGGATAACACGTGCATGCAACCTTGTAAATAAGTTTGTGGCTTGTAAATAGTTTTTCATTACTCAGCGTAAATGGCTTTTCATTAAAAATTACCTGGCGACGCATCTTAAAATTACCTGGCGACGCTTATAGCTTAAAAACCCATATATTGGCAAGAATGGCGACGCTGCATCCACCCTCTGCGCCCTGGTCAACACCTAACACACTGGGAACGCAGCCGTGCACCACAAATTTTGTACACCAATAAGCCCTGAATCGAACGCCTTGGATCTTTCCGGACATCCACCAATCAGCCGTGAATGGAATCTGCTATCCGTAACCGATCATTGACATCCTTCTGCTTTGAATATTTTGAGCTCCACACCCCCCAGACGCGAGGTCGAATAGCCTAGGGTCGAATGGCCGTCCACCACTGAACGTTGCGTCGAAGCATCACTTCATACCCTGGCCACGGCTCGAATTGCAACTTGCGCGCAACAGCCTGCGACCACTTGGATTTGCCCACCTCCGGCCTTGCATAAAACCTGCCGTGCACCACCAGGCCGTCGGTCGAAAGAGCCGTGCGACTGGCTGAGTCAGGTTAGGTTAGCCTGTTAGGTTAGGTTGGGTTAGAACTCGGCTGCAGCGTTCGACCCGCGGGCGTTCGACCGAGGGCTGGTTCAACGCACTGCCTAGATACGGACAGCTTGGTGGCGGATATCACATTCGCTGCAAGGCTCCGGCGCGCTATGTCCGAGTGGTGTAAAATTTTTTCGCGGTACGGCGGACAACGCTAGGCCATTCGATCGCCGGCTGTTTCTCCTGAGGGCTGATTGGTCTAATTCAATTGATTCGTTCTGTCTGGTGGCTTTGGGCTGCCTATATGATTTTCCAGAAGTGTTGAAGGCTACGTCCCGGAGGGCAGGAGTCATGATAGTCCATTACATTCAGGGCAGTGGTGGTCTTCCACTCTTTGGCAGGCTTCCCTAACACACTATTATTAAACACAACATCAATACAAACTTCAAAACATATATACACAATAAACTATCAAGCAGTTAGCAGGATAACAGATAAATATATTTCTCATCTATAACGGTATTCTCAAAAACACGACATTAAAATCTTCATCAATGAATATATGAGCAGTGATTAAAAAAGGTATATTTTGGCAACTAGCCAACTACTACTCACCAACCTCAGGCAGTAGTGTGAGTACAATATAATGGCGGATAGGAAATTTGGAATTGTAATCACCACTGACACATGAAATAATGGTCTGCAAAAAGGGCAAAGAGAATGAGATGGAGAGTGCTGATAACACCAATACCTAGTATAGATAATGTTCACCATGAATTTTAGGATTCTAAATAATTTCACATTAACTCGGAAGTTCGGAACTGGGGGAGCGTTACTTCCCCAAGTGGGATGAAGGTATCAAGGTAACCACCACTCTCCAGCAGTAAGAGTGACAGCCCATAAGTCATAACAAGTAACAACATTCTTGAGGGGGATCATGATACTGATAGTCAATTCGAAGCACGGCAGTGGTGGTCTCCAACAGACGTCCCAACTCGGGCAACTTTTTTTTTTTTTTAATTTGATTTTAAGACTTCAGGTGTGAAGCAGTCACACCTCCCAGCCTGAGCACAACTTGATTTTTCTTGAAAACTCCAACTCAACTGCCTCTTCACTTCACTTTGAATCTCTCCTCATGCTCTCACAAAGGGGTTTTTGTGTGGAAGAAAATAACAAAGGAATTAGGCACTGATAATTTTCATAGGGTGTTCACCATGCTGCATTTTAGCAGGTATTGTCCCAGGTGATGAATGACTGCAGTTCTCCTTTTTTGGGGAATATCACCCCCTCCCAGAGCTGTGATGAGGTTCCAAGGAAGTAAAATGTTCTCCAGATTTGAGCAAAACTCCCTCCTCTGATTGATGTATAGCGAACAGTGCAAAATGAAATGCTCAATTGTGTCTTCTGTGTTGCATGTGGGGCAGATGCCGGAATTGACCAAATTGAAGCGGGCCAAGTGTTCTTTCACACCAGCATGACCAAGCCGCAGACGAGCCACAGCACATTCAACTGAGCGAGGTAGCGGTCCATAGTCCACATAATTTGCTGTCTCTCCCAAGCCCAGTCTGAAGGTTCCCTTCCCTGAAGACTGCACTTCCTCTGACCACCAGAGTGACCAATATTTCAAGAATTTGTTCTTTAACAGACAGAGCCACTCCTCAAAGCACAAACTGGATCTGGCAGAGCGATCATTTGCATGTGCAAGGTTTGCTATTCTGTCAGCCACTTCATTCCCACGAATGTTGCTATGGCCACGGACCCAACACATCATCACTCTGTCGAGCCCCTTGATTTGCATCAGTTTATGAATTTGAGCAATGATTGAGCAATAGGAGCAAACTGACAGTGAAGAAAGAATTTGCAGTGCTGCTCGTGAGTCAGTCAGGATCAGAATTGGTTTATCCTTCAGAGATTCATCAGTGATGGCAAGCTGCATGGCTTTGAGTATAGCAAATAATTCAGCACCCAGTATGGTGTGCACTGGATTCAGCAGCCACCCAGTAGCCAGGTTGGTAGATGGCAGGTAAAGACCTGCGGACACTGATCCAGTAGCAGAACGTGATCCATCAGTGTAGATCTGCACATGCTGAGGATAGTTCTGCTTCCAAAAGTCTTGAAAACAATTCTCAGTGATTTCACGAGGCATTGAATTGACATCAGAGCTCAGCAGGTCCAGACAGATGCTGGAAGAAAGATCCACGTGAGGTGGAAAACACGATAGCAGCGAAGTTGGAACACGTT